GCTGATGCTACTGTTGCTGTTGCTACTACTGTTGCTGCGGCTGCTACGAGCACACCGCACCGAAGTTCGCACTCTCACCAGGAACAAGAACAACGCACGAAACTTCGAACGGCTCGGAAACAGGTTAGGCGCACGAACTGACTGAGTGGCACAGTCATACTACTGGTCGGAGCCTCCCCTCCCGGTCATTGCCCCTTACGCTCTCTCTCTCTCTCGGACCGAACGCGGCTCCTCTCGCTAACCTCGCGCGAGTCTACGATTTTCGGTAATCGTTGCAAATTATATTATTTCATGAATTAATTTTGAATTATTTTAGAATTAATTCATGCTGTGTGGGATCCATATACTAGATAATATTAAAGTAAACATTAAATAAAATACTGTACGTTTATCAATTATTTTATTTCGTATTCTTCCATAATTATATAAAATATAGCACTTTTAATAATTTTTACAATTTTACTTATATATTCAGTAAATAATTTATTTATAGTATATCTAGTTGTGTTATATAATTTTAAATATTTTCTATAATAATTCTAAAAGTAATTAGATAGTATTTTATAAAATAATTCTTGTGAAATGGATATAATCTTTTTAAATTATTTCAGTGAATCAATTCTGTATTAATTTTACGCCAGCTTTTTATTACTTAAGTATCATTTTGAAAATTAATTTTCAAACAATTCAAAACATTCTTACTGTAATAATTTCAAAATTATTATGATAATATTTCATAAAATAATTCTTCTAAAATGCATGTAATATTTGAAAATTATTTCGCAGTGAATCAATTCTGTATTAATTTTATGTCCGCTTTTTATTTCTTCAATATCATTTTGAAAATTAATTTTGAAACAATTTAAAACATTCTTATTGTAATGATTTCAAAATTATTACGTTAATATTTCATAAAATAATTCTTCTAAAATGCATGTAATATTTGAAAATTATTTTAGTCAATTAATGTAGTAATAATATTCGTTATATTTCTGAAGGAAAAAAAACGGACATAAAATTAATACAGAATTAATCCATTGAATTAATTCTAAAATATTATTTCAATAAATATTATTTCATGAATTAATTTTGAATTATTTTAGAATTAATTCATGCTCTGCGGGGAGAACAGAAAATAAGCGATTCCCCGCTGGGCTCGGTCGGTAATCGTTGCGCGTACACCCAGATAACATAGTGTCGGCAGAATGCTGTCACAATGCTGGCACGGCGTGACTTTCGTGCTGGCATTGTGACGGCAGAGTGCATGCGCATTCTGACGGCGTAATGCCTCCACGTATGGGAAATGTTGTTCGGCACGGCGTGCGCGCATTGTGCAGGCATTGTGCTTGCATTTTTTTAAAATTTTTATATAGATTTTTTTTTGTTTGCAATATATAATTATTAAACGAGGTTATATTAAATAAAAACAAATTATTTAAATATAAATTGTTTTTATTAATAATAATTAAAAAATATATAAATTATTTACAGATATTTTACCTGAAAAAAATTAAGAATTAAAGTTTTTTAATATATTTAAATTATAAAAATAGAACTTGCAACGGTAGTCGATTCAATTAATCGAACCGTTCGCGATTCTGATTTTCGCGCGTTAGTTCTAAGTATTGAGAGAGAGAGGGGGCGCGCGATCTTTTGAATTAGCAGTTACGTCTCAGCTGTTACTTGTGTAGTACCGCCAAAATAGTTTAGCAGAGTGTTTCCCCGATTTGCCAATAAATAGTTTACTTGGATTTTGGATACGTGTGCAAGGGTGAGCGAGGAAGCAGCGACAGTAGCAGCATCACGGAAGTAGCAATAAAAGCAACAGCTATTATACAGCAAATTTGCGAACGAGGCAGCACAGCTGATTCTGATCTGAGGAGCACCTTTAATTTGCTTCAACAATTACGGCTGATCACCGTAATTGCACCGCAGGGTAGGTGCACCTCCCTTAATTATCGCGTAACAAAATACATTTGGTATTTTGTCCAACCGTGTTAGCGTTAATTTTTTGTATTCGCGCCGAGCGTTAGATCGCGCCAATATTCGTATCTTCTCTCTCTCTCTCTTTCTCACCGAAAGATATTTAATTGTAAATCCTATTCGCGTGCGTCAGTCTTTCGGCCCGACAAAGACTGTAGAGATTTTTTATTAATAAAATCTATTAAACTTATTCGCCGATTTCGTCATATAATTTTTCCTAATAGTTTAAACAATTGAAAAAGGCTTAGGTTTTAATCCGATTATAGCTAGGGGATTAAGTGGATTAGGAGCAAAGTCGATTACACTTATCATATATTAACTCATCGAGTATCACAAGGCACGTGACTTAAGGTGAGTTCAACTCTGCTTGATCGAAGATAACTAGGTTAAGTCAGCTGACGTTAAGGCGAATACACGTATTAACATACGTGTTAACGGAGTGGCGGTTTGCTCTGCATCGTGGGAGTTTGTTCTTAAATAAATTTCTCATTTTGCAGATTTATCCCCCCGTTACAAACTGCCATATACTTCCGAGTCCCTGAAAACAGTTGACGTATCTGTAAAAAAATAATAGCATTACCCGATATATCTACGCTATGTCTTTTATTATAAGGGAAAATTATTTTTTAATTTTTGTTGTCAAGGCCCCGACCTCGCCTTGACATGTGAGGCACAACCACACTCATTGCCCCTCCAAATTTTTCTTAGAGTTTAAAATGAAAAAAAATGAATGAAAAATTAACTAGATAAAATTATAAAACATAAAAAAAATAAAATAAATAAAATGAATTGTAACGGGGTATTTCTTTCGGGGGGCGAATAGAAATCTTACCCGTTAGAGAAAGGATATTCCTTCTGTTGCGAGGCTGACCGCCACCTCGATCAGCTCGTTCGGATCAGCTCGATCTTCTGACCTCTCGCCCCAGAGCTCGAGAAAGCCCATGCGTGGAGGACACGTGCAGCGATTTCGGGTTGCCCAGTGACTCAAGGTCGGGCAGGTTCTGTTATGGGCGATAGGAGAGGAAAACCAAAGGGAGTTCGAAAGGAAAAGTCTCAGCCAGTTGTCGCAAGATTTACAAATTTATTCTCCTTTGCCGCGTTAGGTCATACAAAGGTGACGCCGTGGCCGAGAGATTTCGCAGGGTATATCGCGCTCACGATGAGAGAGAGAAAGACGCGCACTATCTAGTTTCGCTTTCTGGCCGCGCGCACTTACATTTAGTGTCGGGAACTTGCGCTGCGGGGTTGAGTTGCTGCTGCCGAAAGTTTCCTCGACGGTATTCGCGACTTGTGTCGGTTTCCGGCCCTTCCTCGTCGCACGCCTTTGAGTCAAGGTTTTCCCTGCCCGGGGTTGCCCGCGATCCTCAACTGTCGCCTCAGATTGCTCTGAGCAACTGGTAGTAATGGGCAGCGAATGACCTTCCCCTGGGACGTGATTCTCAGCGACCTTAGAACCACCGAGTCTTCGCGCAATGTCGGTCGAGGCGTTCCTTCAATTTCCAGTGCACTCACTCGTCACTCGTGTTTTTCTTGCCCGCAGGTCCGGACTTGACTGATCGTACGCATTCCTCACTCCTTTTGTAGCGTATGCCGGCCGGCGGCCTAATCGCTCTCTTTCCCCTTCCCCTTATTCCTACTGTCCCGTGCTACGCGCGCCTAACACGCGCTGGTCGGCGCCCTAATCTCTCTCCTCTCTCCCACTTTTTCGCTCGTTCGTCTCGCGGGCGCTTCTCCTTCTCTGGTTTATTTTCACGGCTTTTACGTCACCCCACGCGATAGAGGCGCTTAGGTTTCACCTTTAACGAGTGACACTCGTTACAGAATAAATGAAATAAGTAAAATGAATAGATGAAATAAATAAAATGAATAAATGAAATCAATTAAATAAATTCATAACAACATAAATTAAATTAATTAATTAAATAAATAAATAAACTAAATAAATAAATAAACTAAATAAATAAATAAACTAAATAAATAAATAAACTAAATAAATAAATAAACTAAATAAATAAATAAACTAAATAAATCATATAAATTATAAATAAATATCACTAAATTTGTTAATCTTCATCTTCGAACATCTCGTTGTCGCTTATATACGCTGTTTGATCCAGGTCAGCTGCTACCTCCTCCGTTTCCGTCAGGTCCACGTCCGCTTCCATCGGCTGATCTTCATACCCGGCATCACCATCATCTTCAGCTTGCCCACCTGTAAATAAAAATTTTTAAGACCTTGGTTAGATTTGGTTTTTCAGGTATCTAGAAGTAACTATGAAATCTTTACCTAATTCTTCATAAAGAAGTCTCTGCTCCTGAACGTTGCAGATCGATTGGCGTCGCAAACGCTCCTTTAAATTTTTCAAGGCCTTGACGAAAAACAAATCGATGTCATTTTCCGTAGGCCTTGAAAAGTTTTTATTGGCGTTTAAGGACTCTGTGAACAAAATTTTAAATATTAATTTTCTAATGAAAAAATAAATTCACTGCATTTGGTTAATAAAATTAACGAATATTGAATATTTACTGATGCAGGCATCGTAAAACACTGTCCCCTTCAAAGTGAGCTGATGCGTTCCTTTCCCTTTCAAGATGACACCACTCAACAGGGATTCATTAACGTCGAGAGCCTCTAGTAAATATCTAGAGATGCAGTCTGACGTTAAGTCCTCCTAAGTGTGCGAAATTTGATACCTATAACAAAGTATTATAATATAATCCTTAAAGATAATATTGATAATTTAGATACTAGAATACTTAACTTACAACGTTATCATAATCCGCAGTGTTGACATCTGCAAAGGATTGAATGTCAGTCATACTTTTGAAGGGTAGACCGGCAGGTCTTCGCAGTTTATCCTTCGATAGCCTGAATCGCGCATCCATTCGCTGCAGTTGTTCTTAGAGCTTGCTACAAATAATAAAATTATGGTAATAATTTATTCAAATACTCTTACGGTAACTGTAATTAAAAAGAAAGTTACGTTTGGTTTTCTTTGATGATGCCGAGGTCTTCTTGTATTTTTCTAAATTAAAATTTACATGAATTTTGAGTCAAGTTAATAATTATAAAAAATATATTATTCACAAATTTTCTTACTCCTGGGTATCCCGAATTTTTTGGAGATCTTTTTGGCTCTCCATGACCTTCTGGACGTTTTGCTGCAATTCCCTGAGAAAATTAAATAATATAATTAGCAAGGTATGACGTTTAAGGATTAACATCATCTAAAATAACGAATTTTTGTGGAATAACCGTTTATAAGGTAAATTGGGGAGGAGGTAACGACGTCTTACGGGGCACAACTGCCCTAGTCATAATTTGGTTTTAAGTCCCGAAATATTTAAACTATTTTATATAAAATGAGAGAGAGTAAACGCATATTAGAGAGACACGACAATAATGATACAATATATTTAAATAATGAAATAAAAAGCTGAGCTGGTATTATTTGATTATAGCTTACCTCAAAATTTCGAGCACTGTTTGTTTGTCCGTCCATTCGTCCGCTGGTTCTGGTCTAGTGACGTTGACGGAGAAAGACGGTTGTCGTGTGAGTGTTGTAAATGGTACTAAGTCGTGGTGTTGTAGCTGTTGTTGATTAATTGCGTGTGTGAAAGAAAGGCTTGTGGATGTAAGTGAGGTGTTGGATTGAGCTGGTTGTGTATTGCGAACGTGTTGAGTGAATGATGTGTTTTTTTGAGTTTGTGCTGGCTGTCTATAAGTGTTTTGAGTGAGAGATATATTTGATGATTGGTGTGAGTGTGAAAGTTTAATTTTTTTGTTGTGGTTAGCAAAGAGTGATTGAGAGTTGACGGGTTTTAGTGTGTACGTAGTGTTCTGTATTTGTGTGGTGTTTAGATTGTGTGTTTGTGCCGTTAAATTGATTCGGTCATTGAGCCCGCCCAAATCTTGTTGAAGAAGCCGCAGAGATTGGGTTGGCTTCAGTGATTCGGTCCCCCTCATCTTCGGGGGCATTGTAACGTCTACGGAAAACATTTGAGGGGACGAGTAAAAAGTATCAATGTGTTCAATAAATAAAATATGAAATGACAAGTAAAAACAAATTAGCATTTATCGTATAATCCCCTTATAAAAAACAGATTCGAAAAAAGTGAAAACAAACTATTTGTGATGTAATTGGTTGAGAGATATTCATGCGAGCATGCATAAACATATCGGTATTTATTATGCATATATGATCAGAGTTTATGTTTTAGAATTTTAAATATGTAAAGAAATAAAACTACGAGATCGAGCGAAGCGCACCTAACATGTGTAGTAGCGAAAAACGCGTAACTTAAAAGTTGGTTGAAAGCGAATTTATAAAAATAAAATAATAAGTTTGATAAATACAAATATTCTACTGATCAAGATTATCGCGTAAAATTTCGCTATATATTAAAGAATCTGCTTAAGATTGCGAGGAAAGAATTGTCGACTCTACATAATAATTCCTTTTAGGTTCCGACGTACAATTATTTGCAGGCCAATAAGGCATCCTAAAGCATTTGCATTTAACACTTTGAAGTGGGACTAAGGAGATATCAGGCGATAACGAATGAACTAAAAAAGTTCCAATTTTCGAAGATACAAATTGACCTACATCGAAAACATTATCAACTTCTTGAAAACATTGAATGCTAAATAACAATTATCATCATCTATTTGAATAATATTTTTTACTATACAAATGCTGGAATCAATCAAACGCACTGTATTATTAGCTTGATCGAGAGACAGCTTAAAATTTTCCGTTTCAAGTTTACCGTACATACGATAATTATAATCATCTAATGACAATGGCGCATGATAAAATTTTCGCCGATGTTGTTTTCTAAAATTAATTTTCCTTTCGTTTGATTTTATCATCTGTTTCTTACGAAGACTTTCAATTCTCCTCCTATAAATATGTGCTAGATGAAGATGCGGTTTGCGACAAGCTTTACGAAATACATCATGTTATTTTCGTTAGGAAAAGCTGAGCATGAATCAAGAGACCCGAAATTTTTATAGTCTTGGTGTAAATGTAGAAGACCATGAGTGACGTACGATAAGAACTCTAAACCAAAGATTTCTTCAGCTCTAACGACGTAGATTTTAATAAATTCTTCAGCGTATGCAAGAAGATTTTCAGAAGAACCTGGACACAAAAAAATTCGTATAGAACAGCTCAGAAGTAGAAAATGTAAATAAACGACAGTTTCGATTAAATCTGAAAAAACTACGGGGCCAGTATATATAAGTACTTGTCGGAACTCGGTAGCCTTGAATTTACTATAATTTGTTATATCTACGGGTTTTCGTGAAAATTCCTCAGGACAATATTTTTTTATTAAAACTAGTCTTTTGTTCACTTGTGAGATTGCGATTTTACTCATTTTTGAACTTTGAGAGAATTTACCATCTATAATAGCTTCTAAAAATTTTTTTGTTACTCCCATGGCGACTAGATGCATATAATCGAAAACAACGTGTGATACGAATTGGAATGGTAGCCTGTCGAGAGCCCCCACTCCCTCCTTATGATACTCACCATCAACTTTGGAAATGTACTCTTCGTTTGTACGAGGAGGATGATTTACTCCTCGAAAAACCATTACAGAGCTTTAGCGAATAAATTGACCTTGTACCTAGCATTTTGAACAAGGTACCCGAAAGTTGTGACCCATATGTCCAATAATAAAGACTCGGGCAGGAGCATCCGCAATAAAACATCACAATTTTATAGGAATTATTCTACCATTGAAGTGAACGCCATCGTTTGCTAATATAGAAAGAAGATCATCAACGAAACGCTCCATCATTTTTACAGGATCAGTAGGTTTCTTAAAACCCTTCCATATGCTAGCGAGCTCCGGTTTGCTACCAACTATATTAGCAATCCGAATACAAATAGGCCATATCCTGACTGAAGAAGATTTGTGTAAGGAAGCTTCATCTGTACTGAAATCAAGTTCTAAAATTTCCGGAACATTTTGAGGAGAAATTGATTGGAGGGTCGTTAAAATTGCATTTTCAACGCCAAAATGAAGATATTCACCTCCAGCAATATTCGTAATGGAGGCTTTATCGTGGGGAGTACGCAAAATTGTACGTGGATCCTTGTGCAAACTAGCAAGGCAAGAGTGTGAACGTATCACATTCATCACAGCTTTTATTTGAATCTGGTTCATATCGGTATCTACAAATGCATCTCCTAGGCGTTTTTCAAAATTTTGCAAACTGTCATCTTTGTTTGAAGATATTGACGATTCTAAAGAGGAAGATGATGAATCTACATGATCAGCATTTGATTCATCTCCATCAGATACATTATTATCTCTTACAATCACTGTATGGTTTTCATCACCAATATCAAAACTGTTGCAGTCTAAATCATCATGATTGTCTGCTGGTTGATTTATAAGAGGATTTACGTCAGCCTGTTCGGAATCTAATTCTTCCTGCATTAACGCACGTTTAGGCGATTTAAAAATCTTACGCTTTAATTGTTGACGATATTGCAGAGAGTAATCTTCAAAATTTTTACGCGTTATTATATTATTTATTTGAGACATTTTTATTAAAATCAATTTAACTCGGAGGATAAATTATTATAATACAGTAACTACTATTTACCAGTTTTATATACTTTTCTTTCTAAATGTTTAGTGTAAATAAATTTCAGAGCTATATGTTACCAGTATAATATATATGAATGCGTTACTTTATAAATACTCGCCTTCCGATCGAGCTGCAAATCTATAAAAGAAATAAAAAACTAATCTTAGTTCATAATTTTTACCACCAACAGTAGTGGAAGATTCATAAATAAGTTTATTAAAAAAAATACCGACTTCACATTTATTTGGGATTACTGGAAAGTGGAGACGCGGAATCGAGAGAGAGAGACAAAGATAAAGTAGTTTAACTATTAATTATGGTAATTAATAAAAACAAATAAAAAGATTGGCGTTTTGTGCGTTCTTCTAGATAATGTCTTTTTAAAATTCACAAATAATGTAGACTATTCATATTGAATGATTGCTTAAAAAATTATTATTATAGATTTAACATGTTCATAAATCTTAAAAATATTTTGAAATGGGAAAGTCGTTCTTAAATTGAATTTAAACAAATTCAATATATACTCAAAATGAAAAAATACTTCATTTATACCTGTAAGTTATGATTAAAATGAAAAAAAGAAGTTTCCATGATCAAAAAAGTTGCGCATGCGTGTATTTAACTTTTCACACCCAAAATAACATTAATAATGTTTTTTTCTTTTTTCTCCATGCACCGTAATCATTCAATCACCTTATAACTTATTCCGTTTAAATTACTTTGCCAATTGCAGAAATTACTACTAAATCTTATTTTAATTTTTATAATAATTTTTATAATAACTATATTCACGCATGCGTATTTGCATATCGGCGTCTCAGCTAGAGATCCACTGCTATCTATAGTAAAGTAGAGTAGGCCCCGGTCCCATAGCTACGTATGAATGCGGACGGATACGGACGCGAATCGCAACTCTAGTAACATCACTAAAAACATCTAGTTCGATTATTTAGTACCAACACTACCGGTAGTGAGCAAAAGTAACTGTTGTTTAAAACTGTAGCGCCGAACGTACCACATTTAATGTAACGCCTATCTAACCTTATACATTATTGCAGTCTATAAGATGGCAAATGATAGAGAATTGATAGACTTTCAACTACAATTAGTGGAATTAAGCCTTAATTTTATGGAAGTACTGGAATATATGAGAATAAGAAGCAAATATATATAAATGATATGTATTAATCATCCCAAAAGCTTTTTTCACATTAGCATACTCATCAATAAGCAATATTCATGAGAATTTGAAAAGTAAATTGTAGACCTGACATTTGAACATTAAATGTGGTACGTTCGGCGCTACAGTTTTAAACAACAGTTACTTTTGCTCACTACCGGTAGTGTTGGTACTAAATAATCGAACTAGATATTTTTAGTGATGTCACTAGAGTTGCGATTCTCGTCCTTATCCGTCCGCATTCATACGTAGCTATGGGACCGGGGTCGTATATATTGAATTTCTTTAAAATTGACCGATCATAGTTATAACGGTCTTGTTTATTGCAGGGCATTTACTCAATTGTGCATTCCAGTGTCAAAAATTTTAGCCAACTTGATTCTACCAATAAACTTTAAGCGGGTAGTGGTAGTAATTTGTTTATTAACAGGATTTCTTTACGAAGATGTTAAAATCGTTCTGTGAACGTCCTTAGCTGCTGTATAACCTGACTTGCTTTTTTTATAGCTAAATACAAGTTTAAAAATCTATTATTGACGATCCAGAAAATCTCATCATACAGCCATCCATCCCATCAGATATGTTACCAATTAAAAATTTTTATTTAATTAAACATAAAAAAACTTGTTGCTTTGTGAATGTTTTCTTTTGTTTGCAGGCATAAAATCCCAAGGAGAATGCTTATTATCAACAATTTATACAGATGATTATCAAGAAACATACATCAGAGATTGTGTCACATACAAAGAGTACACAGTGGCTTGCAGCAAATTGTTAATTCAATATAAAGCACCCATATTTACTTTTTCACCATGATTGTAAAATTGCAATAGATATTACAGAATACATTGGACCAGTTGTATGTACCATTGGTGATTTAATAAAATAATGAACAGCAAAACTATATACAAAAAGTAAACATGGTTTTATAAGCTCGTGCCTTCCATACTAACATATTCAATACTAGCATTGCAAATAACAGTAGTAATATTGGTTGTGAATATGAAGATGAATCATCAGATTTGGTTGCTATTATGAAATCTAAACCACAATCCACGATAAAAAAGTAACTTACAATGATCATAAAGTTATTGCAGCTAATATTACTTATGAGATCCTGTCACTAGAGAGATACCATAATATTTGATCGTTATAATTATTTAGCTACAATAACTTTATCAGCATTCTAAGTCACTTTTTTGTCGTCCCTGTTGAAAAAATTCAGTAGGATTTCCAACTGAAATTTTCAGCTGAATTTCTAGCTGGATTTCACTGGATTTCCACCTGAATTTGACTGGATTTACAGTTGAATTTTCAACTGAATGTAGGTGGATTTTTTATTTCTAAAAATTTAGTAGGATTTCCAACTGAATTTTCCAACTGGATTTCTAGCTAGATTACACTGGATTTCTACTTGAAATCATTGGATTTACAGTTGAATTTTCAACTGAATGTAGGTGGATTTTTAACGCTGTTGAAAAAATTCAGAAAGATTTCCAACTGGATTTCTCGCTGGATTTATCGGTGCAAATACTGCACTGAATGGATTTTGAAAAAAAGTTAGAAATGCAATTAGTCATATTGTTTTCATTTTATTTTAATAAATAAATAAAGTTTTTATTTTAAGTTAATAAATATTGGTTAAATTAATAAATATTACACTCATAAAGTACTTCATTTGTTTAATTTCTAGTTCGCAAAGTCATAAGTATATTTTATAAATATACTACATAATGGTAACGTGTACGCCTTTTAAACATATTGAAAATACTTTTCAAAGATAATTCTGTATTTTTATGATCACATTAATATCACACATGAACGAGTCATACATTAGTCTTGAAGTATCATTAAACTATTTTTCGATTTGTAATTTAGAGAGGAATATACCTTTTTTAATAATATTTTGAATAATTGTAGTTGAATAAAAAGAAAAAAAGAATTCGCATTATATTATTTTTCTATTAGAAAAATAATCTTGACAACGGTCAAGTGATTAAAATAATGAGTAGCCACATAGATGATTATTTTACATTATAAAAAACATTTGGAATATAAATATCGACTGTGAATAGACTAAAGAGGAACAACTATTACTAAAAGAAAAAAAAATGTTAAAGTACGATTTGTACTTAAATCTAATAATAACTTCTTGCATACATTACTGCACGTTGACTTTTTTGCGCATACTCTGAATGCAAGCATTGATTTCTTCCGTCAAGTAAGAATTTCTTTCAATTGATAATTCTTTCATAGATGGTTTTGCTTGGCCTCTTTTCTTTTTAAAATATAAAAGACATCCTGCGCAAGGAATTATTTATAAATAAATATATATATAATGAGGAACGGTTGGAATGATAATATATGTACGTACTGTCTAAAATATCGAGTTCAAATGAATCAAAAGGCTTTCTACAGTTTTTTTTGTTTGGTGTAACCTTCGTTGAGTGAGCTTTGATACATTTTCTTGCACGATCTTCCTCAGAAGGGTACATGTGTCGAAAAATCATTTTCAAAAAGTATTTTGCTTCTTTTCTTATGTATTTTTCTCAATTCTCTAAGGGAATTTTGAGTTGATCAGTTATTTTAAATACTTTTATCTGTAACAGATCAATAAATATACATTATAGATATTTTATTTATATTTCAAAAATTATTTACTATTACTTTTTTGTCAAAGAGAAATCATAAGTTCAAGCACGTGCATAAATAATTGAATATTAAATAAATTAATTAAATAAGTCAATTTAATAGGTTAATTAATATAGGACATTACATAATTACCTTGTATCCATCTTCATCGATGATTGTATTTTTGTGTCCAAAATTCTTGAAACGTGAATCAATTGACGGTAAAGAACTTGCTCCTGTGTTGTTTGATTTATTATCTTCAAAATCATGGTTACTTTTTGCTTTTTCATTAGACTGGGGCATCTTGTGTGTAAATAATTTCTTGGAACTAGAATTTCCTGCTGCTAGTGTTAGAAATTCGGTTTCACTAAAACCGATATGCTGAGGTTTCTTTAATGGTAAGTCAAACGAGTTTTCATCATCAGAATCAAAAATTATCCCTGCAAATAACAGAAAATTTCATTACAACGATTATTTGACAATGTTTTTACTTGTTTATTGATTATTATACTTGCTTTTTCTGGGATTCTGTGACTTGAACAAAATAGGGCTGTTCTTTGGTGATACTGTTACTGATTCATTGTTGTCTTGTAGACTTTCCAACACATTTGAATTTAAAGGTGCAGATGAGTCTTCGATAGGTTTATAATTGTGCTGGTTCTTTATTTCAGCATTACTTTTTTTGGTTACATTGCCGCTAATTGTTGCGGCTTTCGTAAAAACATTTTCAGATTTTATTGAGGAGTACAAATTAATTAATATTTATAAAATTACACTAACTTGATTTTGGAGTTGAACTAAAGTGATTAAGCGTATACAAATTTCTTGGAGCAATTTTATTTTCAGCATTGCTACGTCCTTTAATTCCTACGTTTACTAAACTTGGCGAATAATTTAATTCATCATGTGCATATATAGGTTTCATAGGAGGCGTCTTTTCTAATTGATTGCTACCGTGTCGAATGCTCTGCAAAATTTAATTTATTTACTATCTTTATATAAATACTGATATATAATTACAATATAATTACAAAATACAATACAAAAATAAGAAAATTATTAAAATTAATAATTAAAATGTTATCTTTTACCTCTTTTGACATAAGTATTTCATTCTGGCTTTCAATACGAGTATTGGCAAAATTACTTGCATTTTCATCGACTTTCAAGCTTTTCAATAAAGATAATTCTTTCTTCAAAACTTTACATGACTCTTCACATTGAAGTAATTGAAATTGTAATTTTTCATTAATTATTTTGTATTTTTCAGTTTTCTTTTTTTCAATGATAAGATTCTCCTTATGCCTAAGGCACACTTTTTCCATAGCATCTCGCTCAACAGTCGTAATTTTCACAATTTCTTTTAAAGACAAAATTTGCTCATTATAAAAAGGAGAATTTTCTTGTACTATTTCGATCTTTATATCATCTACAATGATATTGTTGTTACTTTTTATATCTGTTTCTTGCACTTCTTGTTGATGTAGATCTATTTCCATGTCTGCACTTGTTTCCATAAATTTTCTCATTTTAAAGTTGAAAATTTTTGCATCTAAATTGGTTCTTTGCTGCAGCATTACAAACATCACAAAATAACATAATATCAATACATTTTTTTACTGTTTTTTTAAATAACGTGCTCACTTTTTGATCCAAGATATCTTCTTGCAATTTTTTGTTGTGTTCTTTAACTCTTTTTTTCGTTTCTTTATCTTCAGCGTTGATTTTTTTCTGTTTATCAATTTTTTCAATTGACACGTTTGTGGCATGATCTTTTTGTAGATATTCATCTATAACTGAAGTATTTATGCGTGGAAAATTTCCTCTTTTGGCCTTGAAATTATATAATTCTTCATCCTCTTCTAAAGAATTTAAGACTGTGAATATAAAAAAATTAAATGTAGTCATAAACTTAGTCTCATTTGATTTTAATACAACCATAGGAACCTCACCTGCTAAGCCCCCTATTTATACAGGTACTAAATTTTTAACACCCTTCTCATCAACCAGTTTGCACTCATATACTTTCTGCTTTTCATAATCATTACAGTCGCAAGGACGTTTGTCTTGGAAATCAACAACATCCGATATTTTTACAACTGTAATCTTCTTATTATTAAAAACCAATCTGACTTTTACGTGCGTTGGTTCAGTCACAGAACAATAAGTACGTTCAGATGCACAACTCATCTTTGTAGCATATTTATACCACAGATAGAAGATTCAAGTTTTCTGAAATTTATAAATAGAAAATTTGTCCATTCATTAATAAATATTTAAAAATGAAATATTTTCCAGAAATCACAAAACAAAAAGTCAAAGTATACCTGAGCAAGTGTAAGCGAAGGAACAGCATAAAATTCATTAATCGCCGACCATGCAACTGAGATGGAAAAACAGTTAACCCAGTGTTGAATAATTTATTAAGTGAACCGATGAAGGTGCTGAGATTGAACTGAAAAAAAATAAAAATAAAGTACTTTTATTCAAACTTTTGTAAATGCGCTAGTGTAAATACATCTCTCACTCACTCTCTCTCTTTTGTGGCGCATCGGAGTCCTCAGGTACCCACAGCCATTCTCATCTCTCTCTCTCTCACATGAAGTATTCCAAGAAGCTGTGTTAAAAGAAAAAAGTTGAATTTTCTTAGATATCTATGATATTATCTTAGTGCTATAATACTATTAATCGTGATATGATTTAAACTTTGGTGTTGCTAATTTCTAAATACAAATGTTTTTAATACACTAGCATCTAATACAGCTGTAAATTAAGGCTTCAAAAGCTATTCGATTGATTGAAAAAAACCATTAAACTTATATACTTACAATGTAAAGACTGTTCTTCTTCAACGACTTTCTTTCAACAAATTAACGTTGAAAAAGATGAAATAGCTACGTTGGTTACTAATACCAGTGAAATTTATGGCTTCACTCCCATCAGTGCACCACTAGAATACTGCTGCTGCTCGCCACTGCCTGCATGTCTACACTCTACAGCTACACTGACAATACTCACTACTGCAGTGCTGCCAAACTGTGTCAGAAAAAGAGGGCGCTCATCAACATGCGTGGGAATTCTGAGAATTCAGCTTTGTCTAATAAAATTTGGCGCGTAAAGCATGTATAGTCAGTATATAGGTTCAGTCGCCGACATTCATTTTTGCCTGTGGACAGAATCCACGGAATCAATTGCAGATTCCGCCGACGGTCGATTCTGTCCACTGACAGAATCGACCGTTGGAAAAGGTTCAAGCAACGAGTATAATCGCCTATCTTCGTTGATACAAGTATTAACGAACAGTGTTTGTTGTTTTATATTATTCATTCAAGACAACCGTGGACGACCAATAACAATCTATGAACTGCGCAGTAAGTATTATTATTGAGAAATGACAATTATTATTTGTCTGGATGTAACAAACAAAAAAATTCCAATCATACCATCAACATGCAGTAGCATTTATCAAGTTATATCGGAAACAGCTCTGAAAATCTAAGTTTTTTTCATTTTGAAAATCATTTTATAATTCCTCATGCTGCCTGTACACTCCTCTATGCTATGTCAAACAAAATTATGCTTCTACAACGATAATTGCAATAACAAAATTACATTACATATAAAGCAAAATATTAAGTAATATTTCATTTCTAAATAGTTAACCTGTACATTATAGTTCATTCTTTTATAGGATGAGAGAAAACAAAAGTACTAATGCATTACCATATGAATTAGACATGCATTTGAGTGTACGATATACCTTAAACAATTGCCTCATCTCCCATCAGAATTTAGTGCAAAGGTGGTGAAAGATTTTGTTTTGATTCCGTTGATCCTCTGTTTTTGGAGCTCCTACTTGGCTAATCTTCCGTACTGCTTGCATTAGCTACATAACTGTAAAAATTTTAATTAAAATGATTTTGCTTGACATTGAAGGTAGAATTATCATTAACTTACTTTATTTTAATTTATTTCTGTTACATATCAACGCCTTCGTCCAATTTTATCAGTAATGAATTCTTCAATACTGGGCACGCTTTGTTTATATGTATCAGTTGCTGGCTGTAGTTTATGTATTGTACAGGTTGATTCACTTAGCACGGATCAGGTATGCTTGGCATTTTTATTTTATAGCTTCTGCTTCAATGAATGCACTTTTGAATAATTTTTATTATATACATGTGCCCAGGTTGCAGGAACATAAGGAAAATAAGAATTTAAAAAATACACAGAGCATGCTACCTTTAATTGTAATGGATTAAGTATGTTCTGAGTTTACTTCTCAAATACGGCCCATCTGTTGGCTGCGTTAAAAAAATAAAATCATACTTAAATAAATACTTATCTGAATTAATTTTGCAGCTGCTCTTAATTAAATTAATTGTTATGGTCAAATTTTATTTTGGACAACACGAACAGGTGTTATTTTGAAGCAAAGTTAACAGCTGTCTTCTGTTATGAGTACTGCTGCGGACTCATGGAGCTGACTGCATGACATTCAACGAATAGAAGTTAGATCTTGAAAGTAAGCAAGCACATACAACAAAATACTTAAGACAGCTCAACATTTTTGTCTTAATTAGCACCTTACGTATATGAAATTGCATAAAAAAATAGTAATTTTTTCAATTGACATACTGAATTATAGATATAATTGTTGTTATAATTTTAGAAGCTTAGGTCTTATACATTTTCACCAATCTTTTGACAATCATTTATTAATTAAAAAAATTGTTTATCGATATTTTTGTAGTGTAACCTTTTTGGTGTCAAGTAAGGGGATTAAGCTATTGTAAATCCACTATTTCCCAAAAAACTTTTTCAATGAAAAATTGAGCCAACAAGTGAAAAAGCAAGTACTGCAGATTGTACCATATTGACTTTGAGAAGAGCTAAGCTCGCATTAACACCAACATCTATGAATTGTTCAAGTAATAATATAAGCACATTTTTAAATTTATTATGCTGTTATCAATAATTGTATTGAGATGTGGTATTATTCTTTGTAGTTTCAAGTGAATCTAGTGTCATAAATAATATTGGCTATGATCATATGGCTGAAAGTAGTATTGGTGATGCTACAGCTAATGTACGTAGGTATACTGAGTCTATATACTATGACGATTCCGAAGATGACAGCATTGGCACAGGGGATGTTACCCACTTTATACGTGATTGGCGGCAATCGTCAATATCACTGTATACTGATAGTGGTATTCCTCAATGTTTTATATTGCGCTTAAAGCAGCTTATAACCCATTTCTAAGTACACTATTTCATTTTTAGATAACGTAGAACATAGTATTGGAAATGAGCCAGTCGATATAAACACATCTAACATGGGATCATATATCCACAAGGTAATTAGAAAATAAATTATTATTTTTATATTTTCTCCTAATAATTCAATTGAATGATTAATAAAATCACCTCCTAAATCTCATTCAATTTATAAAATCACTAAAATTTTTATTTTTATAAATTATAAAATTTTAATATGGCAGATTAGTGCAATAGATGTATTATATATATATTATAAATTATGTTTAGAAAATTAATATTAATGTATTACAATGATAAAGTGATAGATATATAAAAGAGTGATAATTATCATTTCAATAAATTAAAACATCTTATTTGCAGGATTATTCGTCTTCTGAGAATATTGAAGATCAGTTATTCGATTATACCGATACAGACGAAGACGAAGAAGATTATGAAGATTATCACCTATATAATCAAGAAGAACAAGAAAGCGTTAATCAGTTTGAAAAATTAACAGACTTTTTAACAAAAGATGAATCGAATGAAACAATTGATTCACATTTGGTTGTAAATGTAACAGAAATAATCATAGCTGTTATAGTATTTAGCAAAACCTATTCTCTTCCTCATAGTGGAGTTGCCGATCTGTTTAAAATGATCAATTCATTTTTAGATAAGCCTGCACTGCCAGAAACGCGTTATAAAATCGACAAGCTATTTTATCCAAAAACAGGACAAGAATATCATTCAGTCTGCCCTATTTGCAAGTGTTATGTAGGTGTTTTTAATCATAATATACAAACATTGTATTGTGATGTATGTCAAAAAAATATTAACTTGAGAGATCCATCCTACAGAGATTTTTTTGTAAACATCGATCCCAAAAATGATATAAAGTATCTTATAGAAAATAATGCAGATTATTACTCTAGAATCATCGCTGAAAATAATCAAGCAAACACTGTTATGGAAGACATTCATCATGGAAAAAAATATCAACAATTCGTAGCATCGCTTGTGCCAGAACATAAGAAATCTTACGTTAGTGTGACTTTCAATAGTGATGGATCACCATTGTTTAAAAGCTCAAAATTTTCGGTATGGCCGATTCAGATAATGATAAACGAAGTTCCACTGCGTGTTCGAACCAAAAATACAATTGTTTGTTCTATTTGGTTTGGCCATGATAAGCCAAAAATGACCTATTTTTTACAACCATTTGTTCGTAAAATGAATGATTTAGCAAGAAATGGAATAGAATGCAAACTTAATGGAGAAACAAAAAAACTCTACGTGTATTGCATATGTTCTTGTGACGACTCAGTCGCACGTGCCCCAATGCAGGGCATTTCTTTATTTAACGGTTTTTATGGTTGTTCATGGTGCTTGCATCCGGGTATACGAGTTTTACATAAAACTGGATTTGCTACAAAATATCCACTGTTAGATGAAGTTCCTAAACTCAGAACTACTCATACAAAATATCCACTGTTAGATAAAGTTCCTAAACTCAGAACTACTCATGAAACTTTTGAGAATATGCAAGCTGCCTTAACTTCTAGAAAACCAGTCTACGGTATTAAAAATGCAACACCTTTAATTTATCTAAATAGATATGATGTTATTCATGGTTTTGTGCCTGACTCTCTGCATTGCATCGACAAAGGAATTGGGCCTCAGTTTTGTGATTATTGGTTTCATTCAACTGGTAAGCCTTATTCTTTTGCAAAACATTACATTGATGCTATCGATGAGTGTATAAAAAGTTTAAAAGTACCTACACAAATAGCACGTTTGTCTCGGAAATTCTGGAAAGCATCGGAGTGGTCTAACTTTATTTTATTTTATAGTGTACCAGTATTGTCTAACATTATCCCAGGCTTTGAAAAATATATACAACATTGGTCGTTACTCGTCGAAGGTTATCATTTGTTACTGAAAACCAAAGTTAGCTTAACAGATATTGGAATAGCACACAAGTTGTTCAAAAGGTTCATTTGTTTAACACAACTGCTTTACGGAGAGGATGCTATGAGCTACAACGTACACCAGCTCTGGCATGTTACCCAAAGTACAGCACATTGGGGACCGTTATTCGCGCATTGGGGTTACGGTTTCGAGTCCGGAAACGGTAGAATAATTCAAACAGTTCATGCTGCAAAAGGCGTAATAAATCAAATTTGCAGAAGTTTTTGTTTAAATCAAAGTATTCTGATATTAGAAAAACATCTTGCGCAAAAAGAATATTCATCTATCAGGAATTATATAAACTATTTACAAAATAAAGACGATGTTCAGAAAACAAAAATCGGAAGACAAAGTAGATATTTTGGAAACCCAAAAAATGTAAAACAGGAATATTTAACGCTTTTAAATAGACGAAAAAATGAATTACAAGCTTTTAATAAAATGGTTAAAAATGGATGTGTATTCAAAGCAAGTGAAAATTATAGGTCTGATAATAGATTTGCAATTTTAACTGATAACACTTTCATTAAAATAGAAAAATTCTTAGTTGATACAGTAACTCAAAAAGAATGGACTATTTACAAAAAATTATTCGTTGGAAACTCAGCAATTACTGAAGAATTACATTCGATGAAGAAAATTCACTACACAGAGCAATATCCTGAATTTACTGAAACTGACAATATTGAAAGAATATGCGTCCACATTAATATTACCAACAATGAATATATTTTACCTTTGCCGAATATGTATTCAAAATAGAATGTAATACTTCGATTTTAAACTAAATGTATTTTTAATCATAAATTTAGGCTGTATACTCTGCATGTTGCTAAAATTTATTTGTTTTTTAGCTTATCTTCGAAAATTTTCAAATATTTCATATTTCTATGTATATAGATAATATGTATTATTGTTTAAAATATTGACGATTAATTATATTTATAATACGTATTCATAACCATTTTAAATCCATCTATGAAAGACTTATCAATTGAAAGAAATTCTTACTTGACGGAAGAAATCAATGCTTGCATTCAGAGTATGCGCAAAAAAGTCAACGTGCAGTAATGCATGCAAGAAGTTATTATTAGATTTAAGTACAAATCGTACTTTAACATTTTTTTTTCTTTTAGTAATAGTTGTTCCTCTTTAGTCTATTCACAGTCGATATTTATATTCCAAATGTTTTTTATAATGTAAAATAATCATCTATGTGGCTACTCATTATTTTAATCACTTGACCGTTGTCAAGATTATTTTTCTAATAGAAAAATAATATAATGCGAATTCTTTTTTTCTTTTTATTCAACTACAATTATTCAAAATATTGTTAAAAAAGGTATATTCCTCTCTAAATTACAAATCGAAAAATAGTTTAATGATACTTCAAGACTAATGTATGATTCGTTCATGTGTGATATTAATGTGATCATAAAAATACAGAATTATCTTTGAAAAGTATTTTTAATATGTTTAAAAGGCGTACACGTTACCATTATGTAGTATATTTATAAAATATACTTATGACTTTGCGAACTAGAAATTAAACAAATGAAGTTACTTTATGAGTGTAATATTTATTAATTTAACCAATATTTATTAACTTAAAATAAAAACTTTATTTATTTATTAAAATAAAATGAAAACAATATGACTAATTGCATTTCTAACTTTTTTTCAAAATCCATTCAGTGCAGTATTTGCACCTATAAATCCAGCGAGAAATCCAGTTGGAAATCTTTCTGAATTTTTTCAACAGCGTTAAAAATCCACCTACATTCAGTTGAAAATTCAACTGTAAATCCAGTGATTTCAAGTAGAAATCCAGTGTAATCCAGCTAGAAATCCAGTTGGAAAATTCAGTTGGAAATCCTACTGAATTTTTAGAAATAAAAAATCCACCTACATTCAGTTGAAAATTCAACTGTAAATCCAGTCAAATTCAGGTGGAAATCCAGTGAAATCCAGCTAGAAATTCAGCTGGAAATTTCAGTTGGAAATCCTACTGGATTTTTTCAACAGGGGTGGATTGTAGTTTGTTTTTGGTACTAACACCAGCACCTGGTAATTCGTTGTCATAATCACAACTAAAATTGCTACTATTATTTATAATGACAGTCTTAAGTGTGCTAGTATTCAATGCACAAGTTTGCAAAACTATATTTAATTTTTCTTCACTATATTATTACTATATTATAATTTTTCAATACTATATTAGCATGCATTTCAATATATTGCCCTTGTCATTTATAGTTGTGATTAGCCTTAGTTGTCCATTTAATCATAAAAAATTTTAATTACTAAAACACAATTTTATTTTTTATCTTATTTTACTTCTTTAATAATTTATATAAATACTGATTATGCATCATTATTGATTGTATTACAGTCATCACAATTCAATAAATTAGCTTATTAATCAGTAGAATTTCAAAAAAATTGTTAATAATTTTTATTTTTACTTACTTTTATCTTAACTGCGACTCTCCACCACAAGGAACACTTTCACAATTAATTGTTACAATAATAGTACACTAACAATCACAATTATTTATGATTAAATCGTTCAATAGGAATCACACTGACTGGTAAAGAATGTGAAACTTTTTAAAAGAACGTTTTTCAAAAATATCGTTGTTAACCGATAACGATCGAATATATGGTACGTGTATGTATGGACATTCAAATATATATTTTGTACACAAAAATAAAATTATTACAAAGAAATAAAAAAACAGGAACATATACACTCCCGCCCAATAATCTTTGCCCACCTAAGAACAAAACGACTATAACTTTGAAACTCCATATCTCGGCTGGAAATACACCTACAGAGCTCTGCGGGGGCTCATTTGAAAGGGTTTTTCGAGCACTTTTTAATGGTGTATATTAAAATCATGCTTAGATATTTCCCTTGCAGATAGGACGGCGAATATCAAAACAAAAATTACGAAATTTTTGCTTTTTCTTTAACCGCTTGCCATTTCGAGAACAAAATCGTAGAAAAATTCTAAACATAGCATTTTTTAGCTCTTTTTCTGCACTATCCAAAACACTCATTCAAAAATAATTTTCGTCTAAATTCAGCGATTATATGAGCATTTCATTCAAAAACAGCATCTATATTCATTGCTCTGTATCTCGGAAAATTCGAATTGTAGAAAAAAATTTTCTTGGAAGAAAATGCTCTATTTTGTAAGTAGAATACGTGAACGAAATTTCATAATCATATGAAAACATTTTTTTTTCAGTCGTAATATCAAGTAGTCTAATTTTTTCAATATTTCACTTTGGAATAATAAAACAGATCATTTATACTCGAAGCTATTCTATTAATTGTAGACAAATTATAATTGTATGCAAATCTCGATCAACGAAAAATCTAAGTAGAAAAATTAATCTAATCTACCAAAACTGACATAACTAATGATTAGTGAAAAAAATTTTTTTTAATGTTGTTCTAATCTTATAAAAAATTGTTTACCATAGTAACATATTATTGAAGTATGGCACCGAGAGATTTTAGTAAACGTTATCAAGTTATTGGATTTCACATAAATGGTAAAAGCAATCGTTTCCGCGGTCTACCAGAGCGCTTCTTGTCTTCAACACTGCCGCTACTTTTAAATTTATTTACATTGTAGTCTACGGTTCGACGAGGAATATTGAGAATACTAGCAATCTGACGATTGCTTTTACCATTTATGTGAAATCCAATAACTTGATAACGTTTACTAAAATCTTTCGGTGCCATACTTCAATAATATGTTACTATGGTAAACAATTTTTTAGAAGATTAGAACAACATTTAAAAAAAATTTTTTTCACTAATCATTAGTTATGTCAGTTTTGGTAGATTAGATTAATTTTTCTACTTAGATTTTTCGTTGATCGAGATTTGCATACAATTATAATTTGTCTACAATTAATAGAATAGCTTCGAGTATAAATGATCTGTTTTATTATTCCAAAGTGAAATATTGAAAAAATTAGACTACTTGATATTACGACTGAAAAAAAAATGTTTTCATATGATTATGAAATTTCGTTCACGTATTCTACTTACAAAATAGAGCATTTTCTTCCAAGAAAATTTTTTTCTACAATTCGAATTTTCCGAGATACAGAGCAATGAATATAGATGCTGTTTTTGAATGAAATGCTCATATAATCGCTGAATTTAGACGAAAATTATTTTTGAATGAGTGTTTTGGATAGTGCAGAAAAAGAGCTAAAAAATGTTTAGAATTTTTCTACGATTTTTTTTCTCGAAATGGCAAGCGGTTAAAGAAAAAGCAAAAATTTCGTAATTTTTGTTTTGATATTCGCCGTCCTATCTGCAAGGGAAATATCTAAGCATGATTTTAATATACACCATTAAAAAGTGCTCGAAAAACCCTTTTAAATGAGCCCCCGCAGAGCTCTGTAGGTGTATTTCCAGCCGAGATATGGAGTTTCAAAGTTATAGTCGTTTTGTTCTTAGGTGGGCAAAGATTATTGGGCGGGAGTGTATTTAATATATTTCTATTATCAAATACTTTATTAATTTTATTAAAAATACATTAATATGAAAAAATAATCAATGCACGTAATGATACCTTTCGAATTTATTTTTTCACGTGACCGCAGAATGACAGCATTCTGACGGCACGGCGTGCGGTATTTGGGACTTGCATTATGCGCGCATTCTGACGGCACGGCGTGACGAGCACGCGCGTGCAAAACCGTGCTGGCACGCTGTTATCTGGGTATAGTGCCGGCACTGTGTTATTTGGGCAGATATCACAGCGTACCGGCACGGTTTGGCACGCGCGTGCTCATCATGGCGTGCCGTCAGAATGCAGGCATAATGCTGTCACGAAACGCTGCACGCCGTGCCTTCAAAATGCTGTTATTTTGCCGCCCCGCGAAATATAATTTCAAATGAAAGCATATTGCACGCACTATGAAAGCACGGCATGCATTGAATTAAAATAAAATAAATTTATATTATTTTGTATTTGAAATGCAATAAACATTTTTAGTAGTAATTTTTGATATTTTTTATTTATTTATACAATAAATTTTAATTATACATATCTTACAATTTATATACATGCGCATGATCCAGATCGTCTTTTGTTAATATCGGTTATTCAATTTGCAAAGTCCACCTTTGTATTGTGTGTGTTGCAGCGAAATTCTGATTCGTTCTCTTCAATAGTGCCTGCTAGTGAAATAATTAATAGAAAATAAAGATATTTCAAGGTGAGTTCACTTTTATTTAATATAATTATTATTTATTTAATATCAGATAAGATCTCATTTATGTTTTTATAAGAGTTTCCTATATAAATACTATTCGCTATGGGACGACAAAGGGAGGGGGAACATCAAACTAGCATAGCGCGCCGGGTGGCTAAAAGATACAACAGAGTTGGCTATACTTTAACGTTGAAAATTGCATTGTAAGATATAAACAAAATGAGCCATTACACTTGTTGTGTTTATAATTGTCGTAACAACGGTAGATATGGTCCGTACAAATTTTATAAGTTTCCAAAGTCAGTGCATAAAGTTAGTCGAACAGAGCAATGGATTGATGCGGTGAGAAAAATAAAGTAAGTGACATAACCCTACTTTGAAAGCAGACCACAGACGCTTACTTTCGTCAGCTATCGTTGTAGTAAATCTCATTGACAATTATTATTTCAAATTCTAGCGGATCATCTTGGACCCCAAGAAATCGAGATGCAATATGTAATGCCTATTCTATTAATAATGCAAAGGCAGAAGAGGAATTAAGCCCAAGCTACATTCCAACAATATTTACCTATACATATAAATCAACCATTATAAATCAACCAACTGCTATCAACAGGTGTGTGTGTGTGTGTATGTGTGTGTGTGTGTGTGTGTGTGTGTGTGTGTGTGTGTGTGTGTGTGTGTGTGTGTGTGTGTGTGTTTTTTTTTATTAAAGAGAGTTGGAGAATGCTTTATGCACGTAACGGCCTTCCGGCTCGTCCTGTGTGGGAATCCCTAAGCATGGTATACCCACTAAACTCCCATCTCTCTATGTCCTGCCTGTATCCCCCGCGGGAACCGCCGCTAGGCATTACTTCGCGGGGGGGCTTCTGCTATATTAGCCTTGTCTTCTTCATTACCTTTCGGCTGTGTCGTTTTCTTCGATCTTCATCGTCTTCGGCTATGTTAGCCTCGTCTTCTTCTTACGGCATCGATTTACACGTCTTCTTCCAACGGCATCGTCCGGTCGTCTTCTTCTATCGGCATCGTCCGGTCATCCTCTGGACAGACTCCACCTCGACACCTACGTTCCTCTGCATCGGGTGAGGGAGTCTGGGCTCAACCCAATGTCCTTTACTCTCCCGCAAAGGCAGGGGAGCCCTTAGGATAGGCTGGCGCCTTGTTATCCTATGGACATAGGTGACCCCAGATCCTACGTTCCTCTGCATCGGATGGGGTGACCGCGCTCTACCAACTACTCTGTGGTAGTTTAGGAGCGCTTTTTAGTCCCATAGTCTGGCACCTCGCTCTATCTATGCATGATAGACCTGTCGCGTCTTCTCTCTTCCTCCTTTCTTACTTCAGTGAGCCGGTTTACCACTGACGTGGCAAAGGTCACTACCGTTTCCCATCCCTCTGGCGAGCCGAGCAGGCAAGCTCCGAGCCCTTCGGGACTCATTGGATCATTCCACTCCGTGCGGAAATGCATCCGTTCTTCAGCGAAGCGGGGACACACAAATAGGACATGTTCTACGTCCTCGTCAGTGCCTGGACAGGCTGGGCATTCGGCACTCGCATAGACACCGATGCGTTGGAGATAACTGCGGAAGCAGCCATGACCGGTGAGCACCTGTGTCAGTTGGAAGGTGAGGTGTCCGTGGCGCCTGCCTGTCCACTTGTCAATGTTCGGGATGATGCGATGAGTCCAGCGACCTTTCACTGCGTTGTCCCATTTTCTCTGCCATTCTCGCATTAAATTTTGCGTCCACCGTTTGCTCTGGACATGTCTATCAGCATTGTTCTCTTCGTTACGACCTTCTTCACGGTATATTTCTGCTCTGTCGCATGCTAGTAGATCGATAGGCGCTATTCCAGCGATTACCGAGACTGCAATGTCCGATACAGTTCGGTATGCACGGGCAACTCGTAGCGCTGCTGCTCTGCAGGCTCTTCGACACGTCCCTCCGTAGCTTGCATTATTTCTTAGCGCATCTGCCCATATAGGAGCTCCGTAGAGAATTACCGAGCTTACGACCGACGATAGGAGGGTTCTGCGTGGTTGCTTTGGCCCCCCGGCGTTTGGCATGATACCTGCCAACGCCCTAGCAACGTTAGTGGCTTTGACACCTGTTTTCGAGAGGTGTTCCTTAAACGATAGCCGCGCATCTAGTATAACTCCCAGGTACCTCACCGTGTCAGTCGACTGTACTCGCTTATTTTCCACCGTGAATGTGGCATACTTCCGAGCTTTCGTGCGGGAGATGAGCACCGCTTCCTTCTTTTCCGCAGCGAGACTGAGCCCATGCTCTTTTAGCCATCGGGCCACCACCTCGATGGAGGCGTTTCCTATATATTCTATTTCCTCAACGCTCTTTGCCGTGACCACTAGTGCTACATCATCGGCAAAAGCTATTATCTCTGTTCCCCTTGGGAACTGCTGTCTTATTAGACCGTCATATAGGACGTCCCATAGCAAGGGGCCAAGCACCGATCCCTGCGGCACTCCTCCCGTGATGTTGTATGAGTGTGTGCCATCGTCGGTGTTATAGTGCAGGATTCGGTTGCTTAAGTAGCTCGATAGGGCTCTACGCAAATACAGCGGCACCCTCAGTCCTTCCATGGCTGTCATAATGATGTCCCATCTTGCCGAGTTGAACGCATTTCGGATGTCTAATGCGATCACAGCGCACATGCGTCTTGCGCTCCGTCCTCCGCTAATGGCATCTTTAGCCAGGTCCACAACTCGACCAATAGCGTCTAAGGTTGAACGGCCTTTTCTGAAGCCGAACTGGTTTCCAGACAGGTCCCCCGCTTCGGCTATAACTGCCTCCAATCTGGCATGGATTACTCTTTCCAGCAGTTTTCCTATAATGTCCAACATGCACAGTGGTCTGTAGGACGAAGGCTGCTCGGGAGGCTTATTTCCCTTGGATAGCAGGACCAGTCTTTGCAGCTTCTACGAGTTTGGGAAATGTCCTTCTCGCAGGCACGCACTAAATGTATCGCGAATTATTTCCGGGGCATTCAGTGCTGCCGTCTTGATCGCAATTCCCGGTATCCCATCCGGCCCTGGCGCTTTCCGGGTTCGAATTTTCTTCGCGGCTACTATCAGTTCTGTTTGGGTTACTTCTGTAAACTCAGTTTCATCGCCTCTTTCCATTAGGCCTGTTTGTTCTGGTCTCTCCCGATGTCTTGGGAACAGATGTCGCACTACTCTGTCGAGGAATAATGGGCAAGATGGTGGTGCGCCACTCCTGGGCTTGATCTTGCGCATGACCGTTTTATACGGCCGGCCCCAGGGGTCCTTATCTACTTCCTCGCAGAAGTCTCGCCAGCACTGTCTCTTAGCTGCTTTGATGGTGACCTTGAGCAGTGATCGCAGCTCCTCATATTTTTCGGTCAGAGCCTGGAAGTTGGGCTTGTTCCGTGCTCTTTGATGGCGCCTTCTGGCTGTGAGACATTTATGTCTCAGGCTTGCGATGTCCTCGTTCCACCAATATACCGGTAGTCGACCTCTTGCGTTATTTTTTGCTGCCATGGATGCATCACATGCAGTTTTCAGAGCACGTGTGAGACCCTGCGCCTTTTCCTCCGCGGTTCCGGACACTGATGTTCCTTCGAGGGAGTAGAGAAATGACTCTCTGTCGAAGGTATTTGGTGCCCATCTCCTCTTGTTTTCCGTTGTCCTGATGCATACCGCTGGTTTGGTCAACTGGAGCCGGTACGTTATGGCTTGATGGTCACTGCCCGTGTACCGATCGCTGACTCTCCAGTTGAGCTCCTCCGTCAATAGTTTGGCATCTATGAAGGTAACATCCACTATGGACGATTTCCCCGCCTTGGAATAGGTCGGGATCGTTCCTCTATTGGCTACCTCGAGCTCCAATACTCCAAACGCCTCTAGAAGTGCATGCCCGCGAGCATTTGTTTTCGCGCTTCCCCAGTTTACGGCCCATGCATTAAAATCGTCTGCGATGACTACCGGTAGGCGTGATGTCATTGCGCTGGTAACAATGTCATCCAAGGATTTCTTAAACTCGCTTATCTCTTCGCTAGGTGGGAGATAGCAACTATATATACGCATGCCAGCCACTTCTATCCACGTAAAGTTTAAGGTTGGATCGATCATTCTTGCCGATACGTGTAGGTGTCCGCATACCCAGACAGCCGCCCTACCAGTCGCATCTTTCACCCAGTTCGGCTCATCGAGATCACGGTACTTTTCGCTAACTATGACGATGTCGGCCCTTTCCTCCCTTACCAACTGGTGCAGCAGGTCTTGAGCCGCTGCACAGTGGTTGAGGTTGATTTGGAGTACTTTAGTCATTTTTAGCGTGAGGTCCCTCCGTCTTTGCTTCCGTGCAGTCCGCTGCCTTATGCCCCTCCTTTCTGCACCTGAAACACTGCTTGGAGCGGTCTTCATCGCTTTTGCAGTCCTTTGCGATGTGACCATTCTCCAGGCACCGGTAGCATCTTTGTGTCGGTGTGAAAGGCTGAACTCTACAATTCACCCATCCTATTCTCAGCTTCCCGTTTTCAAGTAGCTTTCTGGCCGCTGCTACCGGGAGCTGGATATGTGCCGCTTGTGTGCCGTTGTACAGTCCTCTAATTTTTATGCTGCTACTCGCAGCTGCCTCTGGTCCGATAACTGCAGCTACAGCTTCTATCACTTCCTCAGGTGTGGTTGTCTCATCCATGTCTTTGATCCTGAGGGTTTCCTTATCGGTCATCAGGTGGACTTCTGCAGACTTCTGTAGGATAGCCAGAACTGTCTCTTCGATATTTGGAGATGCCGTCCCTGGTTTCCCCAGTTCAAGGAGTAACTCTCCTGCTCTGGTGCGTCGTATTCGCGTAACTCGTTCTCCTATCTCCTTCATGTTTGGTGCTGCCTTGACCTTTCTCAGAATGTCGGCATACGACGTCCCGTCCAGTGCCTTGATCTTAATGGCTTCTGGGCGAGGTTTTCTTCGACTGGTCTTTCGGTGTTCTGACTCCGTGATTTTTCCTCTTCTTCTATCGTCATTATGCTGTTCCGTAGTCTTCTTCTTTTTTGTGGCTCTTCTTTTGGCTTCTGTCCACTCTTCTGTTCCGGGTTTCGACGCCCTTATTTCTTGCTCGGTTGTTTCTGCTTCGTCGGCCGGTGTCTTCTTCCCTTTCCTCGGCTTTTTGACCACTGGCGACTCTATTGGCGAATTTGGGTCCCGCTTTTTTCGCTTTTTCTCTGGTTTGGGGGACGTTTGCGTCTCTTCATCTTTTGCCGTTTTGTCGGCATTTTCCTTCGTACCACCTGCAGACCGTAGCTTTGCGTACTCATCAATAGTACTGTTTGCCCTTCTGGCCATGGTCTTTAATTCAGCGTGGAGGTTCTTTTTCTCCAGTATGAACTGCACCAGCTGTTTGACCTTCTTTTCTAAGCTCTTGAAGCATTTATCAGCTTCAAGTGCTTGCTCCTCCATATCTTCTCTCTCATTTGGTTTAGTTATATTGCTCATTTTGTTCCCACGAGTACCTAGGGAACTATCGGTCCGCTCCGGCAGAGCCCCGGTTGCCGGAGTAAGGCTAATTACGAGGGAGTTTCGCCAGGTGCTCCCAAGGCTCCGTTTGAGACTCTCTGTTACCCCCGAGAGCCAACAAGGCTACATCGGCACGGGTCGCTTCACACCTTCAGCTTGGGGGTCCGTTACCCTGAACGGGGACCCTTTAACAAGGTGCTATCATCCGGGCCAGATGAGCCTTGGTTTTTTAACGAGGTTGATACTCCTCCCCCTCCTCCTTCCCTGCATCTTGAGTAGCAGGGTCCCGGGCTTGGGACCGGCGGTGGCGGAGTTGTGTGTGTGTGTGTGTGTGTGTATATTTCAATCATTTGATTACAGTTGAAAAGTTGACATTTTATTTCAGAAACAAGCGGTATACGAATCGTATTATTAAAAAAAGGATGTTAGAATTACATAAAAATCCTTCTTGAAAATGTACAAAACAGGCTACGAAGAAAGAAGTATCAAATTTGGATATGGACACGGATCAAATTATTGAAGAGCTATCAAATAGTGGTGTAGAAATAGAACAAGTTGTAGAAAAGAAATTTTGTGATCAAGAATGTGAAGCTTATCTACTCATAGATTCCAAAGAACCATCAAAGTTATTTATATGCAACAGATTTACATATGTGCAATCATCATCACAATCATCCACAATAACTTGCGAGGCTGAAATACAAACAGATATAGTTGAAATTTGTGGCCCTGTTAAAATTACTAATCGTAAGAAGTTCAAGGATTTTGAATGTAACACAGAAATCAAAACTTTTGAAGACAAATGTATTGGACCTAGTATTGAAAGTGAAGAGGTTAAATCAAAATATTTCTCTGGGTTTGAGTGTATTAAAAAAAAACAACAGCTTTTAGATCTTGCTGGTGTGACATTTGCAACTTTCAATTTTTTATTAAAAAGATTAAAAGTACCTAAAGCGAGCAACAGGCACATTTCTAAAGAAGATAGATTGTTTATGACATTAGTTAAACTAAAGATAGGCTTGACTTTTTCAGCAATGAGTGTTTTGTTCTGTAAGGATAGAACGACTATTTCAAAAATTTTCTTTTCTACTGTGCGGTATTTAGCCAGGTCAACTGCAGATGCTGTGTTTTGGCCAGATAGAGTTGATGTGCAAAACACCATGCCACAATGTTTTCGTACAGATTACGGCCAAACTAGAGTTATTATAGACTGCAGAGAATTTCGAGTTGAAACTGCACCTCGTGTAGATGATCGTGTTTTCACTTATTCACATTATAAAAAAGCTTTCACAGCCAAACTACTTGTTGGAATAACCCCAGGAGGATTCATCAGTTTCAAGTCAAGAGTAGCTGGTGGCAGAAAGAGTGATTCACAAATCACTGTAGAATCACATTTAATTGATCTGCTAGAAGAAGGAGATGTAGTGCTAGCTGACAAAGGCTTTCCCCAAATTCAAAGTATCATAGATGAGCGTGGATCTTCAATTTTAGTGGTGATGCCGCCTTTTTTAGAAAAAAAGATAGAATTTACTGAAGAAGAAACTACAGAGACGTACACTGTTGCTAAGTGCCATATTCACGTTGAAAAAATAATGCAAAGGATTCGAACTTATCAAATTTTAAATAAAATAACTCACAATTTATTCAAATATATAGATAATATAGTGCACGTTATTTGCGTTTTGGTGAATTTACAACCATCAATCATGAAAGACGATTCTATGGAAAACACATAATTGTAAGACTTGTATCATTAATCATAAGCAGTAAAAATTGTAAATACTGAATGGACTCGATTTGAACTGATTAATTATTATTATTAAATATATTAGTTACTTTTAAAAAAATAATAAATTGTACAATATAGCAATGTACAAAAAAATTTTAAGGTTTGCAATAAAGTATAAAAATATGTTGAAAATTTTTTTATTTAATTTATATAAAACGTAACATCTCTTTATATTTCAATCATAAATTAGCACTCTGTAATTTAAAACAAATATTTGCAAGATTATAATAGAATTTAACTTAGTTTCACAGTTATTTGAGCTATCTTATAACATATTTTTTTGTTTTCGTTACCTCATCACAATGAACGTTAAATTAAAGTTAAGTAATATTACTAATGTCTTTACCAGTAAATGCTCGATTTTTAACATTCAATACTACTGAAGGTTTCATTAATTTATGCAAAGCAGGCAAATAATTTTTAAAATATAACGTTTCACACTTAAGTAGCACTTTTTGTAAAAATGAATTATCACGAAGAACTAAAATAGTGCAACTCTGAACAGGAGAATATACATATAAATGACATTTAGTCATACCAGCAACATACATTTGGATTTGGCACTGCGTGTAAATCATTGCACTGGTTTTCAAATGTACATTGTTATTTTCTAACTTGAGATATGGCACATTGCACGTTTTTGCATTATAATCAATAAATGGTAAATCCTTACAACTCAATGGACATTTGATTTCCACTATTCTGTCTGGACGTGAGTCTTTCACTACAATTCCATCTAGACTTGCACACAGCCAAGGATTCTTATGACAAACAATAACTCCTACTTGTTTAACACTTACATCATATTCTTGTTCATACTGTAGTCGAGCAATAGATTCCATTTTTTACCATACTTAGTAGCAGTATTACTTATACTTTGAGGGTATAACATTTCATTAACAAGTTTTTCAATTGACTTAAGCTGGCGACATTTGATATTATGGGCACTTTTGCTAGCCGAAACTCTCAGCCTGCGAGCTTGAAACCATTCAGGGCTATCAGACTGTTTCATTGTTATATAACACAATTCAATTATTTCCTCTTTGGTTAAAACGATTGTCTTTTGATAAAATTCTTGTTGGTCTTTCATTGGCATTTCATTAGCACCTTCAATTCCATAATCAGTCCAAATTGAAAATAAATTTTCCAACATTCCTTTACAGTCTTCTTTCTCGACGATTTGATCAACATTAGTTAAAATGCAATCCATTAAATCACGGATCTCGTTGTCATCAACATTAAAATTAGATTGTTTTCTCTTTGCTTTTGATAATAACAGTGTTTTCAACGATGAGCCATCTTCTAATTCTGAAACTTCCTTCCCATAGGGCGCACATGCGAGTATCTATCATCAGGTGGAAACATCTCATCGAAGAATTTTCCCTTTGAATATATTTTTTTTGTAAACTGCTGAGCAGTTGGTGCACCCCACTGTTGCTCATAATCAGTCTTTGTTCTGCTGTCTTCATGATTTATTGCGTAAATCAGTGCTGCAATGTGCTTGCATTTCTTACTTTTATTGTAGCAGCAGTCACACGAACAATCTTAAACTTGACGATGGTCACTTATCTGTGTAAAACAAATATATCCATTATTGTCTTGAATACCAATATGACCAATAAAATAAAATATAAAATAGTACAAATAGTTTTTGTGGAGTAGGGTGGCTTTAGCACAGATGTTTGTCGTATTACTCGTGCCTCTATTAAACAGCTTTTTCCATCTTCTCTAGTTTCTTGAATATCCCTGACATGGCCAGATTATACTAATTTTTCACCTTTCGGTTCTCCTTCAGGGTGAAATTCAATATTATGAATTACTTTCTCAAATCCCGTTTTTAAAATAATTTTCATTGCGTCAACCTATATAATCTTATTACTTTGATGAGATGTATTAACCTGCAAATATATGAATTTAGTTACTCACTAATACACATGTACACGAAATGATTCTTGATTTTTTAAAAGTTTTTTCTTGTAATTCGGACATGGTTCTAAATAATCATCAAATAGTAATTTTTACAATAATCATTTCAATCTTAACCTCAAAAGTGATTCTAAACATGCAATAGAACTCTTTTTTATGCTTACTTACCGTCAATTTTATCAATTATAAGCCACCATGCATCTACGTATTGCCCACACAGCATGAATTAATTCTAAAATAATTCAAAATTAATTCATGAAATAATATAATTATTTTAGAATTCATTCAATGAATTAATTCTGTATTAATTTTATGTCCGTTTTTTTTCCTTCAGAAATATAACGAATATTATTACTACATTAATTGACTAAAATAATTTTCAAATATTACATGCATTTTAGAAGAATTATTTTATGAAATATTAACGTAATAGTTTTGAAATTATTACAGTTAGAATATTTTGAATTGTTTCAAAGTTAATGTTTAAAATTAATATTGAAGAAATAAACAGCGGACATAAAATTAATACAGAATTGATTCACTGAAATAATTTTCATATATTACATGCATTTTAGAAAAATTATTTTATGAAATATTATCGTAATAATTTTGAAATCATTACAATAAGAATGTTTTGAATTGTTTCAAAATTAATTTTCAAAATGATATTGAAGAAATAAAAAGCGGACATAAAATTAATACAGAATTGATTTGTGGCGGTCGGTGTGCAACCAGTGCCGCCATCACCTGGGCACGACCGGAGGCAACATCAACGCCTGCGCTATGGGTTACAAGCTTAGGGAGCCAGGTTTAGGGGGAGAACAGGATTGGCGCGAAGAGCGAGGCGGCTCAAGTCCTGTTGATGCTGCTAATCCCGCTAAGCCGATCAGCACCCCTAAGCGGCCTAAGCGGCCTAAGCCTTTTCTCGCTGACCAGAGCAACGAGAGGCGGTGGCGTTCAACCGTCGCGCTGCTAATATATAAGGGCGACGTGCCTTGCAGCGAACAAGTAGTTGGAGTGGTACCGTCGGGCTGGCCGTGCGTGCTGTTTCCTGGCCATTGATTTGTTCAGCAAGACCCTTGCTTGCGCCAGGTGCGGCGTGCACTTCATCTGCGACACTTTTGTCACTGGCCGTTCGAGCCAGCTGTTTGTACTCTTCGACGAGGAATAAAGCACTGTCTACGTCATACTTCTCTCTCACTCTCTCATCGTCCCCGGCGCCTGCGATTGCGGCCACACTCTATAAAGCTTGGCCAAAGATTCACTGAAATAATTTTCAAATATTACATGCATTTTAGAAGAATTATTTTATGAAATATTATCATAAAAATTTTGAAACCATTACAGTAAGAATATTTTGAATTGTTTCAAAATTAATTTTCAAAATGATACTTAAGTAATAAAAAGCTGGCGTAAAATTAATACAGAATTGATTCACTCAAATAATTTTAAAAGATTATATCCATTTCACAAGAATTATTTTATAAAATACTATCTAATTACTTTTAGAATTATTATAGAAAATATTTAAAATTATATAACACAACTAGATATACTATAAATAAATTATTTACTGAATATATAAGTAAAATTTTAAAAATTATTAAAAGTGCTATATTTTATATAATTATGGAAGAATACGAAATAAAATAATTGATAAACGTACAGTATTTTATTTAATGTTTACTTTAATATTATCTAGTATATGGATATATATTAGATATACATTATAAATATTACATAAAGCAGATTTCTTATCGAATTTTCACATTGAATTTCATTCAATTTTAACGAATAATAATAAAAAATGGAAGTGCTTAACGCAATGCTAGGGGTTTAAATAATCCTGAATTAAAATTCCCTTAAGGAGATATGAAACGCCCCTGATAACACCTCGAAGAAATTAAGATTTGGTGCTGCTTGACCAAATTTTGAAAGAACCACTCGATAGAATTGTGTGAAATTTGAACTGAGTAATTCTTGGACATATATCTACACCCTAAAAAAGCGTTTTTATTTTTAATCTAACTTTGATTCTGCAATATTTCAAGTTCTGTAAATGCCGGTAAGGTAGGTGCTTTCATGAACGTTTCATATGCTCAGTAATGCGTACAAAAGCTTTTTTACGAGATTAAAACCTATAATATTTCTTGGATTATTGGTACGTTAATTTGTAAATTAATTAGTGCATTTTTACAAAAATCATATCAAGAATTAATTCAGAAATAATTTTGAATTATTTTATGAAATAATTCGGGTGAATCGAAATTTTGCATTTTCATTTAATTCAAAAATTAATTTTAAATGAATTCAGAATCATTTGTTGCGTTAGTTTCGAGATTAAAACCTATAATATTTCTTGAATTAATTCAACATTAATGAATGATTTAATTTATGTATTTTTACAAAAATCATATCACGAAATAATTTTGAAACATGTTCAATTTTGAAATAGTTTTAATTATTTCAAGATATAATTTTAGTTTTATGTTGTAAATTAATTCATGGTTCCTTTCAAAATCCTTTCTAAATTAATTCATGTATTAATTTGTTTATTTTTACAGGAATCATTACCTGAATTATTTTTAATAGAATTTTAGAATATTTCTTTGTAATATTTCAGTATTAATTAAGAAATAATTTTCTTTTCTTAGAAAATTATTTTTATATTAATTCTTTGCGTTAATTCAAGAATTAATTCAGTGAATTAATTCATGCTCTGTGGGTGGAATATTAACTCTTTAAAGGAATACTATTTTTTAATTAATCCGAATCATTGCTGTTTATTAAGACTATGTATATCACATACACAAATCTAGTTGATTTTAGCCAACTGCTACGTTAGTTTGAATCATCAGAGGGCGACACGAGGTAATCCTATAGCGAATATGGGAAAATCTTACATGTTTCAAAGAACTAACATGGATAAATTAAAATATTGTAAACAGCAAATAAAATCAATTTTATGAGGATCTTCAAGCACATCTCAGAAATATACTTTTAAATTTTTATACTTTTATT